GCGCCGGCCAGCTGTGCGCCCGAGTCCGGCCGACAAGGTGCTTGGGGACAATTTTATGAAGATGGATGTTATCGGGGACTGAAATCTTGTCCGAAATAATTTGTATAAAATATAGTCACATCGGACGAGGATCTGCGTGAGCCACCAGCTGATGCAGTGGGGGAGCCTCTGGCTGTTCCCCACAACACTGAGCTGAGTCTGCTGTGGGGGGCGCGGGCTGGCCACCCCCGCCCCCCTCACCCCAGGGGCTCCCCCACCCCTCTGCCCCTGAGGCCCTCAGCTCCCCCCAAGAAGCATCTGCACCTGAGCTCCATGGCTGCCCCCATGGGCCCCCCGTGCCCCACCAGCCCTGGCCCATCCTTCCTGCCGAGTGGGGGCAGCAGGCGCTGCTCCCCCAGGTTGCGGGGCGCTCCTCGCCCTGGAGGGGAGACCCCAGGGGTGACGTCCTGGCCCGGTTCTTAGCAAAGAGCCTTCTGCTCCCTGCCCCCCAAGGGGTCCCGGGCGTGCGAGCGGCAGGGGGGCCCAGAGAAGCCTGCGGGTGTCCGCCGGCCTGGCGGGCGGGGGGAGGGATGCCGGAGGGCCAGGCACAGCCCCTGAGGTCAGCGCTGGGGACCAGGGGCGGGGGGGCTTCCGTCCAGGCCCGGGTCCGAGGCCGGGGTCGGGCGCTCCCTGCGCCCTGGGCCCCCCTGTCTTGGCCTCCCCTCTGGAGCACACCCCGTCTGCGCAAAGCCGCCCGCCTCCTGCGGCCGCTGGCACCGGGACCAGGGCCCGCGGGGGGGACCTGGCGCCCGGCCCGGCCGCCCCTCCAGGGGCTGCCTGGGGGAGCAGCCGGGAGCTGCCGGCCAGCAGCTCTCGGTGACCTTGCTGCCCTGGCTTCACCCTCTGTCTCCCCTGATTAATGGAGCCATACATCACTCCCTCCCGAGGCTCCCCGGCTCTGGCAACTAATTCTGCCGCATAATGGGATGTGAGCGCTGTCTAATTCCCAAATTAAACCCAGACGGACAGCCCGGCTCCGCCCCACGGCAGGGGGGTCGGCCTCCGGCCCGCCGCCCCGCCCCAGGGCGAGCGCCCAGCACTGGCTCTGGGTGGGGCACGGACCGGCACCCCGTCCCATCACCCTGGCCCGGCTCGGGGTGCCACGCTCTGGGTCAGGCCCCCAGGAGCTTGTCACCCCAGCTGCCCCGTCCCCAAACCCACAGTCCCCGGGCTTGGCCCCCCAGGGAGGCCTGGGCACGGGGGAGCAGACGGCCTCACGCTTAGGGCCGGACCAGGGGGCGAGAGCGTCCACACCGCAGGCCCCGTCTGCACGCTGTACCTGCCCGCCCAGGAGGTCTGGGGGCCGTGGAGCCCCCCATGGTCCAGGCCCAGTCTTGACACGGTTCCCCATGGGCAGCAAGCTATCAAGCGCCCTGGCCTGGAGGGGCGTGCAGCTGGCCGCCGGGGCGGTCACTCCTCCTGGCCAGCCAGGCCGGCCTCCTGTCCCTGCCTCCCTCCTCTCCTGATGGTCACCGATATCTGCTTCCCTCCTCCAGGGAACTTCCCATGACCATTAGGTCCCCAAACCTTCCTGGTCACCCTGGGGCCCGCCTGCCCGTACACTGGACCGCCCAGTGCAGGGACGGGGTCTGGCCCGGGGGCCCGCTCAGCACCCCGGGACGCAGTGAGCCGCCCACCACACCTGGGCCCCAGAGCCGCGCCCCACGCCCACTCCCTCTGGCCACCTCCCGACCCGCTCGACGCCGAGGCCCCACTGGGCCCTGCAGGCAGGTGGAGGCCCGGGCTGGAGGGCCGAGCGGATAGGGGGCAGCGGCCGCGGGCGTGCGTGGTGGCCCAGCAGGGGCAGGGCCGCCCGGCTCAGGAGGCCCTGTGGCCCCGGGCCCTGTCCTCGGCTCCTGGCGGGTTTCAGGCGTGAGCTGGCCAGACCGAGGGGCAGGTGGCCCGCAGCAGCACGGGCCGCGTCCGGTGGGGTGGCGGCTCGGGGCAGGGCCGTGTCTGTCCGCGGGGACAGGACGCCTGGCTTCCGGCCCTGCCCCTGGGGGTCCTGGTGGCAGGCGACGGGGCCCGCGGGGGGGAGGCTGGGCGGCCGGGCTGTGGGTAGACGGCAGCGGCTGGCTGGGCCTGGGCCGGACGATTGCCGCCGCCCTTCGAGACGCTCCCTGCTCTCCCGCCGCCAGCCCCGCTCCTCTGGCAGCAGGAGGGGCCACCTTCTGCTGGCCATCCGGGCCTGTCTTCAGTTTCTGGCTCAAGCCCAGTTCCGCCCTGTGCTCGTTCTCCACCCGCGCCCCGGGACAGGAGCGCAGGGCCCGGTCAGGCGGCCCCGCAGCAGCTGGTTGGACTCACGCACGCCGAAGGCCCCCGCCCCGGTCAGCAGTGGGCTGGGCGGTCAGGGTGCCGGTCCTCTCCAGCCGCCCCTCGCCTGACCAGGCCTGGTCTGCTCACCAAGGCCAGGGTCCTTCCTGGGGCCCACTGGCCTGTGCCAGCTGGACACAGCGGCCAGCTGCCCACCTCTTCCTTACTCTCCATGTGCCCTGTCCCCTGCCTGCATGGACGGCTTCCTCACTCCCCTCTCTGCCCAAAGCGGCAGGTTCTGGAAGGACAGTCCGGCCCAGCCACCTAGCCACAGAGGTGGTCACCGAGGGCCTCCTGCAGTCCTTTCCTTTCCCACAGGAAGGCAGGGAGGTGGATGTCGCCCCTGGAGGTCATGGCAGGCTTGGGGCCTCTGGCCCGGTGTTGAGGTGCTGCGAGCCAGCGCCAGTGTCCTCTGTCCGGGCGTGACCGCAGAACTGAACTCGCTCAGCCCTGGTGGGCAGGGCGTCTCGGCTCCCAGAGGGCCATGGCCATTCCCAGCGGCCAGCCCCAGCGCTGTCCCATCCTGGCCCTGCCCCACTCAGGCCCGGCCCCGCCCCTGCGCATCTGGCC